TTATGCCTGGGTTCCTTGAAATTCTTAGATCTGTGAGGTTTTATCATATTTAGATACGTCGTTCAGCCATTATTCAAATATTCTCTGCCCTCTCTCCTAGGAACTCCCGTTCTCACAGGAAATTCCCCCGCTGCTTCCTGATGCCAAGTTCATGTCTCTCAAGTGTTTCCCCCCTTTAATTTTGGATAATTTCTGTTGCTATATATTTTAATTTAGTAATTTCCTGCATTGTATAATGTGCCTTTAATCCCATCCTGTGTATTTTTTGCCTCAAATGTCATTTTTTAATCTCTCAAATTTTGTTTTAGGTCTTTAAAATGTTTTTCATGACTTGACCTAAATGTTCAATCTTTCTTCTTAGTTCCCTGAACATATGGATATTATAACTTTTAATATCCTTGTCTGCTAATTATATTACCCTTTCATTTCTTGGTTTGATTGCTTTTCTTTATATTATGGGTCATATTTTCCTGCTACTTTTACATACCTGGTAAGTTTACTGGTAATTTTGTGTTTTACTTTGTTGGCATACTGGATGTTTTTATATTCCTATATACTTTGGGACACGATTAAGTTCGACCTTCCCAGGTGTTGCTCTTAAGCTTTGTTAGGCAGGACCAGGACCGTGTTTAGTGTGGGGCTGGCTTTGGCGGACCCTGCTCAGTGAAGGACCAGGTTTCATATGCCGGCCAGTGGGAAGAACTCCTGGACCCTGGTGAGCCGGAGGATTGCTTCCGCTGATGGTGAGGGTCTAATGCAGCTTTGGGGTGGTTCTTTCCTGGCCTGAGGTAGTTTGGTCACGGACCTGATGACTCAAGTGAAAACATTTCCTCTGTACAGCTCTCTCCTCTACCCTGCAAATTCTACGTGCCCCCGCTCCCTTGGACTTGCAGTTCTCTCACCTCACCGCAGGGTGGCTCTGCCTGGGTCCCGGCCCTGAACGGTGGTCCGGAGAAACCTACCCAGAGTGCAGGCAGGAGTGATGCTCGGGCTTACTCCGTTTCCTGTCTCCCAGGGAGCACGGCTTTCCATTGCCTGGTGTCCAGTGTCTTGTAAACTGCCATTTCATACAGCCTGTGCAGTTTTCTCTTGTTCCAGATAGAGTTATCCTAGTCTCTGTCAGCGTCTCCGTTTTGCAAACTAGAAAACCGGGGGTTGGGAAGGGTGGCTGCAAGCGTTCAGTGGAGCCCAGCCTGGAACCTAGACACTGGTGCCTCGCCCACCACATCACGCTGCCTTTTCTCTGTAACAATTTTCTCAGGTAACTGAAGCTCATGCCTTTTAGCTTTATAGCTTAATTTAAATCATTTTTAGTGAAAAAAGTTTTTTGGAAAATTTTTTAAAAAATGATTAAGTGTTCCTGCTTTCTCAAATAGAGCATCTTGAACATATTTGAACCTTTTCATTATCAACATTAGTTATCTTGTTTTCTGTTCTATGGGACCCAAATAATCCCTTTTCTAACTAAAACATTTTACAATGCATGCCCCTTTTATCCTGAAGAGTCCAAACCTTCGTTGGTCATCAGGTGGGCTGCCATTCACAGTGACATTGGGGCAAACAAGTGTCATAGGGTCCCTTGCATAGTCCCTCTCACCCACCCCAGCTATAAAAATGCAGCCCCACCTCTTCCTGCTGATCAGGGCCAATTAGCCCTGCCAAATGGTGACTCCTTGACTCCAGGTCCCTGGACAGAGTTCAAAGGGCCCTGGGTGGAGTTTGATGATCCTTGCCATGTGCCCTGACAAGAGTGTAACCCTTTGAGAACTTGGACCTCCAACCTGCAGAGCCCACATTTGGGACAGTAACCACCAAGTCCCACAGTGGGTCATGGGGACTGATGGTAAGTGGGGCCACTCTTGTACTGTTGGGAACAGAGCATCATACAGCACTCTCCGATTGAACACATGCACCACATCCTGAAAGACGGCATCTTTAGCATCTTGCCTCTGAACACTCCAAGTTGGCACTTCACCTGTGCCTTCAAAAGGCTGTTCCAGTATTCTCTGAGCTGTGCTCACTGCCACAGTATGTGCCACAACCAGGGAGCTCGTGTCAGGGGCCTGTCTCCATAGCACTCACCGTAAAGTAGGTCCCCTGGGCAAAGGCTATGGTTAGGGACTCTGTGTCTGTATATCTGGCCACTGAGGATGGTGGTGCCAACTGATGCTCTGCAGACAGGAAGACAGTCCCACACCTGGAATAGCAGCCTATCCCTGTGACAGATAAACTGCTGGTCCTTCCGCCATGGGGGAGAGTCTGGAGTAATTGATTCGCCACCCAGTGGCTTGCTGGTCACCCTGAAGATTAATCAGTGCCTATTGCTGATGGGTTAGCCATTCAGAGGCAGTGTTACTGAACAAAAAAACAGGTTCAGCTGCCTGCCGCCACAAAAGGCAAACTCGTGAGGCAGGTGCTAGTGCAAAAGGATAGAACTATATTCAGGTGCCGCGCAACCTGGGAAAATGGTGGACTCAGGTCTCAAAGACCATCTCCATTCTCCTGTTCAAGCCTATAGTTCTTATAGAGGTAGGGAGGAGAGGGCTTTTTTCCTAGTCTAATTATCTTTCTAGCTTTTGGCCCTCTGGGGGCAGAAAGGGGGCGCTCTTCATTCATCTTTCTAGCTTTTAACATGCTTGGTGTAAGAACCTCCTCTGCTGCCATCTCGGCCATGGGCGGAGACTCCCCTGGCGCTCTATTTCGTGGTCACAGCAACAGGAGCTAGATTGACCTTGGCAAGTGCTACACACATGTCATGTAATGTGGTGGGTTTCTTTTACCTCTCCAGGTCTGTTCTTCACCCCCAGCTTTCCTCCGGCCACTGGGAGGCTGACCTCTGCACTGCATCGACTAGGCTTTCTCGCTCTGTGGGTTTGGCTGGTGCAAGGCCACAGCAGGAGATCAGAGAGCAGAAGAGCGACTATTCACAACCCAGCTCCCAACTTTCCAAACCACAGTTTTGAATAGGTGGTATCCTGTGGCAAAAGGCCACAGCTCCCACCTAGCCAACGTTTTTGTAGCTCCAGGCATTCATAGGGTTCCCACAACACCTCACTCCCCTCACCCCTTCAGCCAGGCGTGGTAATGGCTTCCCACTGTTGCTACCTCAGGGTGCTTCCTCAGTATCCCCCGTTGGCTTCCCCTAGTCTGCCTCACTCTGTGAGAGTCTGCATTCAGACTGTCTTCGGTCTGAGGGTACCACCTGTTCCTTCCGGGACACTAGCCGCCACAGGACAGATTTTCTTCCGAGCCTTTTAAAATGAGTGGTAGATAGTAAACACATTTTCACCTTTCCTAATTCACTTGACAAATATTTAGTGAGCACTGATAGTGTGTGCCAGATCCTGTTTTGTTCTTTGAGAAAACAGTGGTGAACAAGACAAAAAGGATACAGTTAATACAAAGGAACTTCAAATAGTGATGATGGCCTGATCCCCTGAGTGATGCTAAGGGGGACACAGGTGTAGCCACATTGCATTTGGCCATCCAGGACCGTCTTTCACACGCAGCAAGACTTGAAGACTCGGAGCCTTTAGCTAAGAACAAGGAGGAGCTCAAGGTTCAAAGATCTGAGATCAGCGTATTCCAGATGATGTAGTAGGCAAGCTCAAAGGCCAAGGAGCTTGCTTATTCAGTATACAGAAGCTTCTGGGATGTAATGAACATGGTGCAGTAACATTAATGTAGATGGGCAATTTACCTCTGTGTTTGTAGTACAAACAAAATAACTTATAATACGGTGTTGGCCTCTTCAGGGTAGACAATCCAGTTTGCTTAGCAAGTATTCTTCAGACTATTTATTGGGTATACAATAGATTATAGCACAGTGCCCAAACTATATATAGCCACCTAAATGTAACCTCAATTAACCTAACAGTTATAAAAGGTAAGTAATCTATCCTTAGGAATTAATCCAAAAATATCCAGAGAGTGAGAGGGAAAGTAGATAAAACAGACCTTTTTCTCAAAAACAGTTGCGGCGTTGCCCAAATTACAAAGATCTAAGCCAGCCGTTTATCGTTTTTATTTGAGGAGTAGAGGAGTTAGTGGAGGGTGTAGGATGTAAATAGGCCCGAGAGGAATCTGAGGGAGCAGAGAATCCCACCTGACCGCCAGCCTTGCTCCCTTTTCTTGAAAAACACTGTTAGGGCCGCTTCCTTATCACTCCAGCTTTCCTACCTTAACCCTGTGGTGTAAATTTGCAGCAAAATCATATTATGGGCTAAATGTTCATATTCATCTTTGGTTTTGGCCAAGTTATGTTCCGGTTACAGAATTAAGCCATTAGCTCTACAAAAGGTGGAGGTCTTTTTCTCCTTTTCCATCTGTTTTGGTCCCAATTTTCTCAAATGAAAGAGTTCTCTAGGTCACAGACAAGGTCTTACAATGTCTCTTTCCAGCACCACATGTCTGGCACATAATAAATGGAGGGAAATTAATATTCTAAGAGGCATCTTTCTGCCCCACCAATCTCGACCCTGACAATCTCTAAAGTGAGCGCGCAGAGGTCGCTTTCGGCCACCAGGAGGCGCTAAGACGCCATCTAGGATGGACTCACTAAGCTTGCCAAAGGGTTTGAAGTTTTGACCTTTTAAAAAATTGTCAGAAAGATTAAATCTCAATTTTCGGGGAATTTTCGCCAGGCCTGAATGATGCTCCAGCCAGGGGTGGGCTGCAGAAGGCGCTCTGGGTCTCAGATCTCTTGAGATCGCAGTGGGAACGCGTGCCGGGGAGTCGCAGAGGTGCACGCGCGGGAGTGGGTGCACCCGGGCGCCCAGGGCAGCTGAGGGCGGAGGTGCGCGCTGCTCCAAGGGTCCGCTAGACGAGCGCGCGCGGGGGTTGGGGGGGTGTTGCACCGAGGAACCAGCTCCCTTCCCTCCCCCGCCCCCTCGCGGCGCGAGGCTGGCCGGGCCGCTCCTCCCCTGGGTGGGTCCCGGCTCCTTTTCTGGCAGAGTCTATCTGCATAGAGGAAACTGCCCAAAGTGGCCGTTGTGGGGGAGCCGGCGGCGGGGGAGGAGGCGTGTGCCGTGGTCCACTGCTGCCTGGAGGCCAAGCCCTGCGCTGGGCCGACCTCACGCTTCGGACTTTCTGCCTGCTCCCCGCGCTCAGTCCGCACCCGCAGCTCTGCGCTGCCCCCTCGGACCGCACACCCGGAGATCGCGCCATGAGCCTGGGCGAGCGTGGCGGCGGCGGCGACACGAGGAAGGGCGCCCCGGCGGACGGTGGCGACCGGGGTAGCCCAGCGACGGCAGCATGGGCTTGGACTGTGAGCGCGCTGTGCCTGCTGCTCTCCGTGGGCACAGCGGCCGCCTGTCTGCTCCTGGGCGCTCAAGCAACCTCGCTGCAGGGCCGGGTGGCTGCGCTGGAGGAGGAGCGGGAGCTGCTGAGACGAACGGGGTCTCCGGCCGCCCTGGCCGCCTGGGCCGAGCCGCACCTGGAGCGCCTGCTGCGCGAGGTGAGGCGCGGGTCGGGGGCGGTCCCGTGGGAAGGGTGCGTGCGCTGGGAACCCCGGTAGGCTCCCGGAGGACCGTTGGTTCGCCGGCCCTACATGTGAGTCTATCCTCGCGGCCTGTGCGGAAGGGGGTGGCGAGGCTGGTGGGGGTGCCAGCCCCTAGGGGGTCCTGCTGTCCCCATTCCAGCCTCAAGGTCGCGTTCCCAGGCAAGCGGCCACGGGAAAAGTGAGCTGGAAGGGGACAAGCAGAGGGAGGGAGGGAGAGGATCCACGAGCGTGTGCGCTCCGACCGGTCGCTTCCCACCTGCGGTGGGCTCCGGGCTCCTCCTCTGTGCCAGCGTTGTGAAGAGGCTCTAGCGCGAAGTGTCTGGTGGGTGACTCTCGTCACCGGTAGCAACTGCTCTTGCCAACGCTGCTGCGCCTGGGGAGGCGTGGGACCCCCAGCAGACAGGCAGCCACGGCGGGGGAATGCCTCAGAAAGACCGAGGGGCCGAGACCTGGAAGGGTCTGGTCCGCTCAGCCCACCCGTCCTGCCCCCGCGGGAAAGTGTGTTTCGGAGCAGCTCCACTTAGAGAGATGCTGTGCCCTGGGGCTGCTGCCTCCGAGCGCGCACTCCGCGCGACCTGGAGCGACGCCCACATCCGCCCGGTAGGGCGAGGGGAAGAAAAACAGTTGGGGCCAGAAATCCTGCGTTCCAAATTCAGACGGTGCCCCCTGGGGGATGCCTCCTGGGCAGATACTTCTGAGTTTTCTCGGGTTTGTTGAAAGCATATGGGACTCTGACACTGCTATTACAGTCAAAGCAGGAGCCGTTTGGCGGGCCTCGAAGCCCTCCCCCATCGTGTTCATCAGAACCTCCACATTTCGTGCAGCAGTGCCCGCGCCTGCCCCCGGGACTAGAGCAGCTGGACTGTTCAGAGCTGCCCTGGCTGCGCCTGACTTGCCTCCCTCGCTGAGCCTTCCTCTTCCTCCCGGGGGAGGGCGCCTCGCATGAGCCCTGCCTAAAGGAGCATCTTCCCTCGTAGGAAAAGCACGTGTTCGGGATGGAGGAGAAGGGGGGGGGCAGGCCCGTTACTGCCACTCCCTGAACTGTGCAGAGCTGCGGTCTTTAGAAAGGTATTCAGCGGGCTGACCATCGCTGAGTTCATTTGGAGTCTTCGCGGGATGGGGGAAGAGTACACCACACCGCCTAGTTCACCTCACCTATTTCTTACCACTTTCATTTAAGCCAGCGTTACATCTCTCCTTGCTGGCTTTTGGGCCAGATTTCTACTTCATGAAATGATTTCCTCTTTTCTCCTGGTAAGTGCCTGCAGACTTCAGAAATCTCTCCGGAGTCCTGTGGTAACTGCTGGTGAAGGTTTCATAATTGCAGCCCATTCTCTGTTGGCAAATCCTGAGAGACCAGGGCGTTGAACTGACTTACGGAGGGCCAGTAACAAACGCGTCTACCTGTCAGTGCTAGAGCTGGCTGCCCTTTCGAACAGGAGGCCCCTCTGGGTAAAAATAAACCACAAGCCCACAATGAGTAAATCAGAAATCCCAGGAGGACCTTATGCAAGGAACTTGCAGACTGTTTCATTCTAATGGGGGGAGGGGGTCCTGGGAAAGCAGCCCCTTCTGAGGAGGGTGGATCCTCAAGCCTTGCACTGGGCACTGCAAGAGTCCACAGAGAGAGAGCTGCGGTCTCCACCTGGGGCACCGAGCAAACCGAAGTGCTCAGTTGAGCACGCGTGCTTGCTTGCTCTCTCTCTCTCTCTCTCTCTCTCTCTCTCTCTCTCTCTCCATTAGAAAGGCAAAGGGAATGCTTGAATCCTGGGATTTCCACTTCACATTGGCTGTACTGTTCAGCATTCCGGCATTAGCACAGGACACATCTCAGCACATCCAACTATTAACCAACTAAACTTGGTGTCCAAGGAGTGCATGCTCCGAGTGCCAGCTGGCTGGTGTTTCCCTCCCAGGGGAGCATCAGAGAGACCACCGTGGGAGTGCACTTGGGGGTTGAGCTTCTGGCTCTTTTGGTGCCTCCTGGGCAAAGCCGGCTGTCTCCCAGGGCCAGGCTTTTCCTGCTTCTGGCCGTGGGTCGCTGGATGGCGAACCACACAACCTGCCAGGTGACCCAGAGCATCCCTGGCAGAGGAAAGGGTTTGGGGAGGCGCATCATGGTGAGCGGGTAGTTGGCTTTAAAGAGATGTGAAGGTATTTTTTTGGAACTATTAGATAGGAAAGACAAATGAGTGTTGAACTGAAAACACCTTAAGGAGAGAACATGTGCCCTTGAGTGTGTTTTCGGTCCTGGCTGGTTCTCAGCGGAGCCTCTCCAGAGCCCAGGCTGGAGTGGCTGCGAGTGGGAGGCTGCCTGCAGTCGGTCCTTTCACCAGGAAACTTGTTTTCAGAGTTTTGGAGACAAAAACCACATCCAAACGAAAGGAGAGGAATTCTTGCCAAACACACACCACTTTACTGTCAGAAGAAAAAATGTTTTTAAAGAAGCCCACAAATGCCACTGTTATCAGGGGACCCACCGTCTTTGTTCCCAGGGGGACGGAACTGTGGTTGGCCAGTGTGCCTGACCGAGTAGATCCAGAAGCTCCCGTAAAGGAATGTTCAGGTTCACTTGTGATTATTCAAGAGCCTTCCACGGTGCAAAGTAAGGGAAATGGTTTTCAGAACGTAAAAACCAGATTTCTGGGCAAAAGTAACTCACAATAGTATCTTCAGTATGATCCAAGCATCTGATAGCACGCTTCTAAGGTGCTCCCTAAGTAATCAACCTGCCCCCAGTAGTTATGCCTATAGCTGTGGTATTACAGAAGCTTGAATTCTACTGCAGTAAAGAGTTTCATTCAAGGATGGAAGAAACATTTAATTATGTTCAGAAGCGGCCATTTCCAGCTTATAATGGATTTATTGTTGGCTGTTGGTCTTCCATTGTCCAGACCAGTCAGTTTGAAAACAAGAAAAACCCAGAGACCAAGGGTAAAATTCAACCACTTTCCTTCCATACCATCAATTGTATACCAGCATATTGGTTGTTACCATGAAACCCAGAACCAGCTATGGCTTTTTCAGCCTCTGTGTCAGTCTGTCACTTGTCAGGGCTGCTCTGTGGTGTCCTGGGGCCATATCACTACATCTGTTCCCTTGACATTTCCTGGCTCCCAAACCAGAAGAGTTTCTATCCCATACTTCTTGGCGTGCTCACATTCTCTCTGCCCTTTTCTTTCTCTTGGTTTTTGTTTTTTGTTTTGCACGACAGCTTGGGAGAGCTTTATAATAACAGTATGATTAGAACAAGCCAACTGTCGAGGCATTCCTTTTGCAAACGTAGTTTTTAATTGTTACACTGGACTTTCACGTATTGGCTTTGAAGATGTGCTTCGGCCTTCCGAAGCCGGGGAATCAGAGCTGAGTGAACATGGACCAGCGGACAGGGAAGGCTTCCTGTCCCGCCGTTTACCAGCTCTGGCAGCCAGCCTCCTCAGCTTCCTCGGCCTCGGCCTTCTCTTTCCTCATGTGACGGCCACTACCGCCTGGGTAGTGACAAGCAACGACAACGACGTAGAAGAATCACCTAAACAGCCAATGAACTGTCTTTGTAACCACAGAAGCCTGCAAGTCATTGACAAGATCTGGCATTAGGTCTGTGACTTGGCCTTGTTGGTGCCCGGTCCGTCTGTCACTCTCTTGGCCTTTCCGCATGGTCTCAAGGTGGCTGCTGCAACCCCAAGCAGGAGTGTTCACATAAGAGCGGAAGGGAGGAGGCAGGAAAAGGAGTCAGCTTCTTGAGAGGCTTTCTCTTTACTCGAGTCAGGGGGCGGTTCCTAGCCCCTCTTGGCAGACCTCCCTCACGGCCAGAGCCAGCCCCTGATCACCATTATCCTGTCCCTGGCAAGGTGCTGGGGCTGGCCAGTCTGGATTTGCCCCCTAAGGCTGGGCACGCAGCCACAGGAAAAGGACCAGCTCTGTGAGGAAGATGGGGCATGGCTGCCGGGGAGCAACCAAGGGTGTCAGGTGGATGCCCTGGGGTGTTGTTACCCCAGAGGAGGGTGGGGCAGCCATCCACTGACCTGCCGCCATTTTCATAGCCGAACCCCCTTCCGTGGCGGCGGGTCCCATGCTCCGTGCACTGGGAACACTGCTCAGCCACACCATGTCGGCTTCCCTCGGGGCCTGTCTCCAGCTCTGCCTCCAGCCATAGTCAAAGGCATGGTTGCTGTGCTTCGGATTCTCTCCGGCACAATCCCATGCTTAGTGCTGCCTTTATGGTCTTTAACCCTCAAGGAGATGCAGTTCTGATCCCCCAGCGACTGGCTGGAGTGGCCTCCCCTCCACACTTGGGAAGGCACTCTAGGGCCCAGCTCTCCAGCTTTGCCACATTGCAGCAGACATGGGGGGTGGCAGTGCTTGCTCACCACACTGCAGTTACAAGGGGAAGCTGCTTGGGCTGGAGGCCGTTGGCCCAGGGTCTGCGAGGGCCAAGGAGATCAGTGTCCCCAAAACCATGCACGGGGTCCTGTACCCATGAACTGTGCCCAGGCAGCTCTGCCCCTGCTCTTGCCCCTTGGCCATGGGCCTCCTTGGCTTTCTCAGCAGCCATACCTCACCCGGCCTGCAGGGCCCCTTCCGGGACAGGTGCAGTCAGGTCACAGTCCCCAGAGTGGTGTGTCCCTTCTAGCCTCACTGGTAACATCTCACTGGAGTCAGCCTTTCCAAGTGCCTTTGGATCCTTGTACCTTCAAACAGCAACCTGACAGGACCCCAGTGCAGACTGGCCTACATTAGAAAGGGAATTGGTTGAATTAAAAGGAGAAGTCCAGGGCACTGTCCGCCTGGGCACAGCTAGAGGCTTCCCGACTCCGTGTGTGCCTGCACCAGCTCCCTGGTTCTCAAGATGCCCTCACTCCCCCCAGGTGTGGGGGGGGGGCAGGGCAGCTGCCACAGCAGGGATTTCATGCCCATAGTGTCCTCACCGTTAGAGTTTCTCTTGCCCGGAAGCC